CGGGGCTGCGGGCCGGGCCGGGTGGTGGGCAGCCGCCGGCGGCCGCCGCGCAAACTCGTGCCGCTCGCTTACAAGCAGTTCAGCCCCAACGTGCCGGAGAAGACCCTGGGCGCCAGCGGGCGCTATGAAGGCAAGATCGCGCGCAGCTCGGAGCGCTTCAAGGAGCTCACCCCCAACTACAACCCCGACATCATCTTCAAGGACGAGGAGAACACGGGTGCCGACCGCCTCATGACCCAGGTGAGCGCGATGCGCCCTTCCAGCGCGCTCCCGGAGCATCGTGCCACCTGCCCGGCCCTACCCGCCCCCCTGGCACCTTTGGTCGACTGCCTGGCACGCCCCCCTGGCACCTGCCCCTCTGTCCTCTCCAAGCCCGGGTGCCTAATGAAATCAAGACGGGCCGGCCAAGGGTCCTTGTCGGGAGCGTCGGCATCCCCATCTCCATCCGGAGACTGGGGGGTGGGGGAAGAGCGGCCCGCTGCCCAGCCTCGCAGCCCAGCACGCTGGCCGCGGCCGCCCTACCCGACAGTGCTGGCAGCTCCGGTCGAACGCGGCACCCAGAGGTCCCTCGATCCGCTTGCCTCCCCCTCCCCGCCCCCCGAGCCCCCGGGAGCCACGCGGCTCCTCCCGGCCTCACACCCCGCACGGCGGCGCCCTTTTTATTTCATAACCATTTGGCACTCCCGAAGCGAAGGAGCTCCCCGCACGGTTCCATCGCCGCCGCGCGCGCTCCGCCCGCTGGGCCGCCCGCTCCAGGGGCGGCGTCCGGGCTGGGTCTGGGGTAAAGGAACCGCGGGGAAGAGCGAGGAGGCGGAGGTGGCCCAGGGGACCCGCCGGGCGAGCCCACGTGTCTGTCGCGAGAGCTGAGCGGCGCGGCTGCGGTTAAAGGGTGGGGTGCCGGAGCCCTCCTGCTTTGGGACGGAACTCAGGGCATCCCGGGGGCTTGGGAGCGAGGACGGGGAGGTTTGGTTGCTAGCGACAGGGATGGCGAGGGAGTCGAGGAGCTGACTGTAGTCTCTGCGCGTTCCCGGAGTAGGACTCCCCACCCCCCTCCCGCTCCGCTAGAGAGCGGGACGCGAACTTGCTGTCTTGAAAGCCGGTGCGCCCTCTTTTCTCTGGGAGCTCTCTGGTCTTCACCCGCTAGCGGGCGACCAGGCTTTCTAAATCCTTTAGGACCAGCAGCGAAACCTCGGCCTTCAGCCTGCGCCCTGGCGCCGGGGCCGGCCGGCCGCTGTCGGGGCCGAAGGTTGGCTGGTGGCCGGGCCGGGCCGGGCGCCGAGGAATGCAGATAAGGATCCGGGCCACAGCCTGGGCAATCATTGACAGCGAGCGCCCGGGCTCTGCACACGAAGGAGGGGGAAGTAGGGGACAGGCGGGAGGGAAGCTCACGGGACGCACATACGTGGGCGCCTAGAAGCTGGGCGACCAGGACCAGGAAGGCGGATGGTTCCCCCCCTTTCACCCGCTCCCGGGCAGTGAGCGCCCCAAGCCGGGTGGTGCGTGGGGAAGAACCAGCTAGGTTGTAGCTATTGTTGGCTCCTAGAAGGCCGAGTCCAAGGGTCTGTGAGGCCCTGGGTCCGTGATAGTGGGGGTGCATTGAGACGTGGGCTGCCCACACCTGACGGGCCCCTGCACCTTGGAGTGGGAGGGCTGCTTCCAAGCACCCTTCTTGTACATAAAAAACTCCAGCCCTGAAGCCCCTTATCCCCAGATTACTGCATGGTCCCTTGGACTCTCGACCCCCGCACACTTCCCCCAGGACTCGGTTCTACTCCCCCCCCCCAATTCCTGGAGATCAAAGGCTCCGCTTCCGGGTCTCTTCACCAACTGAGGCAAAGCTGAGGTCGCCAAGCCTGTATGCGTGCAGCTGGCAGATGAAGCCCCCCCCCGTCCCCCACGGCCCCCAGCAGGCAGGCGGGGCAGTAGCCCACCAGCTTCGGGTTGTCTGCACTTTACTTGCCCCGCGGGTGCGGGAGGGCTTGTCATCAGAAGAGGGAGCAGCCACAGCTCTGTGCCATTCGAGGGATCCAGACAGGCCTGGGATTCCCCTTCAACACACCCCGCATCCCAGGCTGCCCGGGCGCCTCTGCACCTGCCGTTCCTCCAGGCCGGTCCTTCCCCGGGACCACAGGCTTGAGGCGGCGGTGACACCTACTGGGCGCCTCGGGCCTTGCATGCCTAGCAGGACAGCCTCGGGCGACAGCACGGCTACCCAGAGGGACCGGTAGTTGGGAAAATGTACCCCATCTGTGGAAGGACCAGAGGCTCGGCTAGGGAGAGATTCCACAGGAGGAAGGGAAGAGGGGCACTCCCGCTACCCGACAACACCGTGAGGGTGCAGTGCCCCCCCCCTCGCCCTGCAGATTTGTGGTGCCACCATGTGGCTCAGTTCCCTGGGCGCGCCTGGCTGCTAGAATAGGAGAGAGCACTTTTGAGCCCCGCTATCCAGAAGGGAAGATAAAGACCCCTTCCTGTGTCGGGGGGATGTGTGAGTCTGGGGCAAGCATCTGCCCCTGGCCGGCTCCTCCCCTCTCACGCGGACACATTCCTCCCCCAGCGCTGCAAGGACCGTCTGAACTCGCTGGCCATCTCCGTCATGAACCAGTGGCCCGGAGTGAAGCTGCGGGTAACCGAAGGCTGGGATGAGGACGGCCACCACTCAGAGGAGTCCTTGCACTATGAAGGCCGCGCGGTAGACATCACCACCTCAGACCGAGACCGCAATAAGTATGGACTGCTGGCGCGCTTGGCAGTGGAGGCTGGCTTCGACTGGGTGTATTACGAGTCCAAGGCCCACGTGCATTGCTCGGTCAAGTCCGGTGAGCCGCTGCCTGGGGGCTGGGCCAGGGGGCGGGGCCGCAGGGAGTGGGCAGGCAGCACAGGGCCTGCCAGGGCCCCGAAGGTGAAGATGCCCAGCCGGGGATGGAGGCAGGGACCCCGGGGAAGAGGATGTACGCGCCACTCTCGCGGGCAGCTCTTGACTGCCTGCTCTTCCCGGGCTTCCTAGTGTCAGGTCACCAGGGAAATAGGGCCTGTCCCACCACCTGGGCGCTGACCTGGCCGTCCAGAGCTTGTCACAGGACATTCATGACAAAGCAGGCTGGACAGATGAAGGAAGCCAGGCTGGCAGGCAACCTCTCCCCTTTCCAGACCCCTGGCAGAACAAAACACAGTGGGGCCAGAGTGTGCTCAGACACCAGTATGCCTGATCAAGAGGGCAGAGGTTCACTCAGCTGCAGGTCAGGTCTCCTGTAGGGGCGCAGGCGTCCCCCACCTCTCCCCTAGAGCACCGAAGCTGGACCTTTTGGGGCAAAGCCAGTCACCAGAGCCAAAATAAACAGAGTGGACTCAATAAAGTGGATTTTGCCAAATTGGCAGCCTTGTTGATCAGAATTGGCAGGCACTGGAGCCTTGCCTCTCTCCCACAAGTCATACCAGTATCCTTGTCGCCTACACTGAATCCTGTTCATGGATGCTTCACATGATTGCTTGTGCAGTCACCAGTCTGGCCCCTTCTGGCTTCAGGTTCAATCCTCTGTACAGCTACATGTAGTACTGCAGTGACAGACCCGGCACACGGAGCCCAGGCCTCCTTTTGCTGTAGTCCCAATCCTACCTGAGCTCATAGTGATAATTCCACAAACCCTCAGCCACAGGCCGACCCTTCAGTTCTGCACCTTCTCTGCTGCGTACTTGATGTCACATCCACACCCTTCCAACACTCGCCCAGGGCCAGCTCCCCCAATGGCCACTTGCATTCATACTGATCCCCAAACCATCCTACCTGCTGATGTCACTGTGTCCTGTCCCCCCACAAAGAACCAGCACATGAATCAAACATGATAACTTTGACCTTGCCCTTAATCCACTTCTGACTACTCACACAGCTATCTGCTTCAGGAGTCTGGGTCAGTCTCATGGAGCAGTCTTCCTCTCCCTTCCGTACACTCATACGGCCCTCTCTGTCACAGATCTTGGGGTGTCAGTCTGGAATGGCAATTTTTTTTGAAAACATCTGAGCAAAGTGTGAAGACAGCCCATCTGGACCCCAGAGAAACTAAGATTCCCCAGTCCACAAGGCTAGGGTCACAAATAACAGCTCAGCTGATCCCTGGTCTCTGACTACATCCCAGTATTGCTGGGATGCAAGAGATAAGTTATCACCTAACCTTTAGGAGACCCTTTCTTCTCACCCACGGGAGCCCCAGTGTGTGCCTCTCATTGGCAAAGGGTTGAGTTAGGGAGAAGGGTAGGCAATCACGATGTGACTGGGAGTGGGTTCAAGCTTGCAGGGGTTGGAATATTTTAATAGGGGATCTCTGGGAGCAAGAGGAGCTCTGACCGGGTTGGGAGGGCTTGGGAATCCAGGCCCCTCAGCAGTAACAGCTTCATGTCCCTTCTTCCCACAGAGCACTCTGCTGCTGCCAAGACAGGGGGCTGCTTCCCCGCTGGAGCCCACGTGCGCCTCGAGAGCGGGGCGCGTGTTACCCTTTCAGCGGTGAGGCCAGGAGACCGGGTGCTGGCCATGGGGGAGGATGGGAACCCCACATTCAGCGATGTGCTCATTTTCTTGGACCGTGAGCCAGACAGGTTGAGAACTTTCCAGGTCATTGAGACCCAGAATCCTCCACGCCGTCTAGCGCTTACACCAGCCCACCTGCTCTTCACTGCTGACAATCACACAGAATCGGCAGCCCACTTCCGAGCTACATTTGCCAGCCACGTGCAACCTGGCCAGTATGTGCTGGTGGCAGGGATACCAGGCCTGCAGCCTGCCCGAGTGGCCTCTGTTTCTACACATGTGGCCCTTGGGGCTTATGCTCCGCTCACAAGGCACGGAACACTGGTGGTGGAAGATGTGGTGGCTTCTTGCTTTGCAGCTGTAGCTGACCACCACCTGGCTCAGTGGGCCTTCTGGCCCCTGCGACTCTTTCCTAGCATGGCATGGGGCAACTGGGTCCCGGTCGAGGGTGTGCACTGGTATCCTCAGCTGCTCTACCGCCTAGGGCGTCTCTTGCTAGAAGAGGGTAGTTTCCACCCACTGGGCATCTCTGGGACAGGGAGCTGAAAGGACCCTACCACTGCCTTCCTGGAACTGCTGTGCTGGATCCAAAGGCCTCCCAACAGGATCCCTGGAAGGGATCTGAGCCTCATGAGGACGCTGGTCCCAGCTTCTCCTCTGGAGTGGGGAGATGCACCATTGAGACTTGACTGGGCTCCTGTCCCCTACTCTCATCTTGGTGTAGTGATAGAGCTGCAAGCTGAGCTGTCACAAGGATGGTGGGCTTTCCTTTCCTAGAGACCTGAGACCAGCCTGCCATTGCTACTATTTTACACCCTGCCTCTCGCCATGAGGAGGGTCCATTCCATGTCTTTGGACCTCTTAATCCAGTCTTTCATGGGGCCTGGGTTTCTGACTTTACTGTTGGTAACAGACCACAGTATGAAAAGATTCTGCCCGTCGGTGGGCTTGCACCTCAGTTGATGCTGCTAGATTCCCTGGGAGCCAGCAGGGAGCTGGCTGGACTCATTGCTGCCCAGACTCCAGAAGGCCACAGCCAGCCCGTCCGTCCTGAGGCCTGACCTGCCCCGCTGACCACACTCCTCCAGACCCACCCTGAGATTTTTTTTACTGTCAGGGGGCAGAGTTCTCTGCCCTGGCAATGTGACCATAGTACCTGGAACTGTGAGGGAGGGGCCTGAATGTCCTCGCTACCCCTGCCCAGGCTAGGCTCCCTTTTCTGCTGACCCATGACCCCCACCCCCTCCTCCGGTCAGTCTTCCCCACCTTATTTATTGGCATGGAGGGGGAAGCTCATGGGAGAATTTTGGGAATGTTTTGGTCTTCCTTTTGTAATAAAATTATTTAAGTTGTTAGAGTTATGGAGTCTGGAATGCTGAGTGGGGTCAGTACACAGAGTTTGGAGTCACAGAAAGCTCTCTGTAGGAGTTTGGTTCCTGGCTTGGTGCCTTCTTCCAAGGACAAAGTTTTGGAGTTCCCACCCTCTATGTAGGCCCTGTCTCACCCAACAACTCTGCAAAGTCCCAAAGCCTGGGCCAGGCAGAGCCTTTGTACACAGACCCCAAAGTGTGTCCGAAATATGGTTGGACCAGAGAGAAAATGGAGTAACTAATCCAGGGTCATTTTTTGCATCTAGAACCATATCATTGTGCCCTGCTCAAGGTGGTCTTCCTGCTTATTTCAGCCATTCTCAAGGCCTGGTTTTAGACTCTTTGCTATTGGTAATGGATCATGTGGTTTAAGAAGATTCTGTGAAATTCACAGTTGTGAATTCTGACTTCTTGGACAAGCTAGAGTACCTTAAGCTATTGGTAATGGATCATGTGGTTTAAGAAGATTCTGTGAAATTCACAGTTGTGAATTCTGACTTCTTGGACAAGCTAGAGTACCTTAAGCTAGCAGTTGTCAAACTTCATAATTAACCGGGTGTCAGTGGCTCACACCTATAATCCTAGCTACTCAGGAGGCTGAGATCTGAGGATTGCGGTTCAAAGTCAGCCCCGGCAGGAAAGTCCGTGAGGCTCTTATCTCCAATAAGCCACTAGAAAACCGGAAGTAGTGCTATGGCTCAAGCAGTAGAGTGCTCATCTTGAGCTGAAGAGCTGAGGGATAGCGCCCAAGCCCAGAGTTCAAGCCCCACAACCAACAAAAAAACCAAACAAACAACAAAAAAAACCTCATAATTACCTGGGCAGCTTCTTTAAAAGACATTTCTAACTACAGTTCCAAAATTCCACCTTAATAAATCCACTGTAAGACCCAGACACTTATTCTTGCAAGTGCCTAAATATGGCAAGATGGCCTATGAACCACATATGTTAGCTTTTCATGTACTCTGTGCTGTCAGTGACTTTGTCACAGGGGCTATATGAGTACCATGAAGTGGCTGGAAACTAGACTTTCTGAAGGCAAGGATGCTACATCTAAGGCAAAGAGTTTGCCTGGCAGGCTAGAGGAAAGAAAACACATGGGAAGTCAAAGGTTTGCAGGCCTGGGTGAGCTAGGGGCTCAGGATCAGGCCAGCACTTCAAAACCATGAGGAAGCATGTGGTTTGGCAAAAGCTGAAGTGAGAAGTAACCGGAGTCTAGTGGCAGAGCCTGGGTTCCTCCAACAAATTTGGCCTTAATCCCCTGGGCCTGGGGAGCACCTGGAGGGTTTGAAGGTGGGAAGGCTCATGACCAGATGGGTTTTGAAATTTCTCTGCATACAATATGGAGGATGGACTAGAGTGGGGCAGGGATGGGGGAATGGGGAGGCAGGAAACCCTTAACTGGGGAGAGAAGTAGGTGACCTGGATTGGGGAAGTGGTCATGGGGTCAGAAACAATTGTAGAAAATGAAGTAACAGAATGACTACAATGAGAGACAGGGTTGGATAAGTAGTGGGGGCTGAGGAAGGGACCCAGGTCAATTTGGGGGTTTTGAACATAAGCCCCAATTCTCATTCCCAGTAACCTTTGTCCTTGGCCCTTTGGCCTCAGTGGCTGTACCTGCAATGATGATTCCAAGGGCTTTCCCATTTAGATATTCTATGTCCGTGTTGCTGAAGGCATCTCCGCTAGGGTTCCAGGGACCTTTAGGTTCCTACTTTCTCTGCCTGTGCACCATCCCCCAACTCCCACGAGGATCTTGGCCCATTTAGTTCTGTAAAGACAGAATATTATAGATTGGATACTTTATAAACAAAAGACATTTATTCCTCACATTTTGTGATCTGAGCATCTAGTATCAAGGTGTCAGGACCTGTTGAGAGCCTTTGTACTGCATGGTCCTAGGGTCTGAGAGCTTGTGAGAGAAAAGTAAGGGGCCCATCACATTCTTTTCATCAGGAACAATCACTGATACCAATCCACTCCCATGAAGTCAGCGTTAATCCGTGCATGCTGGAAGAGCCCTCTTGATCTCATCATCGAGTCACAATACTACTCATTTGGGGATTATAGTTCTGAGCTAGGAACAGTCAAACCTTAACACCTTCCCTCTGGCACTGAGAAGTTTAAGGAGGAAGAAACTCAGAGTAGCCCCCGTAGCCCAGTCAAGGAAAAGTGCAAGACCTATGCTTAAGCCCACAGGTTCTGGACATGTCATCATGTCACTTGGAGCATTGGGGCCCAGGAGATAAAGTAGAGGAACTTCCTAGCTATGCGGTCCCTGGAGCTGATAGTGAGCAACCCCATATTGCAGCTCAAGGCAAACACTCTACCACTTGAGACACAGCGCCACTTCTGGTTTTCTGAGTGGTTTATTGGAGATAAGAGTCTCATGGACCTTCCTGCCCAGGCTGGCTTTGAACCATGATGGTAGCATCTGGGGGCCTCTTTGAGAGAAAGGAAGGTAAGTGCCTTTCACCGAAAAACTTAGGGCAGGGCTTTCAAGCCTCTGAGTTACTTTGGTAAGGGTAGGTGAATGAAGCATTAGGAGTTGATGCATGGAGCAAAGGTTCAGGGCAAGCTCAGGGACTGGTGGTGCTGTTGGGGTTAAAAGTGCCTGAAGGACTTGAGGATGTGCATGTACCCCACGGTAAGGGAAGAGCCAAGAACCTGGTGTGAAGTGCCTCAAGCAGCTTTTCAGAGAGATCAGACTCCAGCAAGTGAGGCCTTTGAGGGAGAGTGCAAGCCATGCTACCCACTGGGAGGGTGCCCCTAACAGGCTAAACCTGCCTGGCAGCAGTGGCTCCCCCACCCTGTGCCCTCTGGCCTCTGAGTGGCTGAACCTTCTGGGGCTTAGCCCCATGTCCCACACCCTAGCCTGCTTCTCAAAGCTTCTTTGTTCCACAGACTGAAGCTGGCCAGCCCGGATCTGATAAGGCTTCTTTGGGTAGATATCAGCTTGGCCCTGCGTACTACACCCAGCTGCCTCTCACGCACCTGTCTACCTTTGCTGGGTATAGACACAGGGGGCCTTTCTGATCAAATGGCGGCAGGTTTGATCTCTAGACTAATCCCTCTCGGCAGCCTATTTAAGGCTCTTCTCATCTCATGGAGCAGCAGAATAAAGTTATTAAGTCTGTTTCAGAGAGAAACTGCCTTGCTTGTGACCATTTCTTCCATTCCCAGAGACTCCTACTATGAGCCGAATGTGTGAGGTTATGCTATTTACATCTTCACTTTTAGTCCTACAAGCCTGGGAAGTGAGGGTGTTCTTCATCCCTCCTTCACAGGAAGCAACTAAGGCCCAGAGAGGTGTGCTTTTTCCCCAACATCAAATGATAACAAACTAAATCAGACCTAGGTCCCCTACAGCAGCAAACCAGTGCAGTAGGAAGTGACAAGTTCTCATACCAGGGGAATTGGAAGAAAACATTCCCAACCTCAATCTAAAGGGGTTAATGGGGTCAGGAGTAGCCAGAACAAGGTTAGAGAGGTGAACCAGGAAATGTCATTTCTAGGTACTGTGAAGGACTCAAGCCAGGGAATATAGTGTTTAAAATATGTTGGCAAAGCCACATGCTGGTGGCTCATACCTGTAATCCTTGCTACTTAGCAGGTCTAGATCTGAGAATTGTGGTTCAAAGCCAGCCCAGGCAGGAAAACCAGTAAGACTCTTGTTTTTTTTTTTTGGGTCCGGTCGTGGGCCTGAACTCTGGGCCTGGGAGCTGTCCCTCAGCTCTTCAGCTCAAGGCTAGCACTCTACCACTTGAGCCACAGCACCACTTCCGGCTTTTTT